GTGGGAGCCACTGAGACTGGCCTCTTGTTGCTGTTTTTAAATGTAACTAATTTTGAAGCAGGAATCTGGGCACTTTTTGCATTTGGATACTCCCAGTCTCAGCTCACAAGAGCAAGGATTCTGTCTACCTAAATTTATAATTCCAATTTACAATTTTAATACATTCCACCATATTTCCACTAGACAGGAGTTTCTTCAAAAGAGACCACTCAAAAAGTTCTGAAGTCACCAGCTTCTGCTAGAAGAGCAGAGCTTTACAGATTGTCGATTGAACCACAGGTTTCCACAAGCTCTTAAATGGAGCATGAAGGCTTCAGAAAAAGAAAGGGTAAAAGCCAGCAATTATCAAAGGCAAAAACAACTGCTCAGGAGAGAATGAACAAGAATGCCTTAAACTAAAAAACTAGGAAAAGAAAAGTGACCATAAACAAAGTTTCTTTTTAGATTCTTATACAGTTAACTTCAAGGTAGAAATATGCTACTTCAATTAACTGCCACCTGCACAATTTACACCCATACTCTCCCTGCTGGGGCTGTGGCCACCTTCTTTAAATGTAGGGCCCATTGGGATCCTTGGGTGTAAGCTCACATTGAAGCACAAAACCTTACTATGAAATGATAAAGCATTTATGTGAGCCCCCATTAGCCAAACAGCTTACAGGAGCACCATAAAGGCCTGTGTTCCAAGCACGGGCCTAGGAACCAGCCCAGACATATTCAGTTGCTCACTTCATCATTGTATGTGATAGTGTCTTGATTTCCCTACTTGTGAAACAAGGACAATCCTGAGAGAATCAAGAATAGTTTACAAAGCGCTTGGAAAATGAAATGGGCAAGCCATCGATATTATAATACATAAAGGCCAGCGAGGGGGCCTTTACACTTTACAGTGCATCCTCATTCAAGTTACCATGGTCACAAGAGAAGTGACACATAAACACAACCCACACCTAAGTGACTCAATTACAAATCTATACCCTTACTGAAGAGGGTATTAGGATATGTAGATTCATTTTTAATTCTAACAGCTGGTCAAATAATGCATGATCCTTTTAGATTATGTGTATGCTTTTAAATTATATCTTTAACTTAAATCTAAAACTAGGGCATATATTCAGAGCAGCCTTCCCTTTGTAAAGTCTATCCAACGTTGTCCATGCTTTCCTCTTATTTTCTTCATCTTTATTTCTAGAACACTGCTGAAATTCTTGAGGGGTTCCAGGATTTCTCTAGCAGCTGTCTTGGAAGCAAGGTAAGGATCAAAATGCTAAAGTTTGTGAGTGAATCTCAGGGAACACTAAAGGCAGTGGACTGAATTAACACAGAGAAATGAGAGGACCCACGACTAAAACAGTGATATGAATTTTGCATTTTTCATTGATTAGAATAAAAACATGTGCCCTGCAATCAAAACTGTCACCTTCCATAGCTGGCTCAAATGTTATCTGCGACTTCCTACACATATACACTCTACATAAGCAGGTTAGCCTGAGAAGCATGATAATATGTGAGGAGAGCCCTCTCATTCCAGCGAAGCAGAATATGAATTCTCACTTAAGCTGACCCCAAAACTGGCAGATAGCAAAGGTAGGTCATAACGTAACACAAAGGTAAGGAGTACTAAGACACAGAGAGAATGAAGGAACATAATCATCCTCTCCTCACTTTCTAATTAACAGGATCAGACAAACAAACAAAAAAAACAAGAAGTCACAATGGCCACCCATGATGGACAAAGCATGGATATTTTATCTAATAAAGTATCTCAAGAATCAAGGTGGAAAGTGCCAATGTAAAAACAAGAAACAGCTTTTACATTCAAAATATCAATTAATTAGCATGGGGCTTTGGTTTATACCAGTTTCAAACACCAAGTTTCCAAACTAACAATATAAAAGATGTTAACTTACACTGATGTACATCAGTAAAACATGGCATTTGCTCCACAGTTAATATCACTAGCTCTTACAAAACTAGGAGAGGGGCCAGGCACGGTCGCTCATGTCTGTAATTCCAGCACTTGGGGAGGCCGAAGCAGGCGGATTACCTGAGATAAGGAGTTCAAGACCAGCCTGGCCAACACGGTGAAACCCTGTCTCTACTAAAAATACAAAAACTAGCTAAGCATTGTGGCAAGCACCTGTAATTCCAGCTACTCAGGAGGCTGAGGCAGGAGAATCACTTGAACCCAGAAAGCAGAGGTTGTAGTGAGCTGAGATTGTGCCACTACACTCCAGCCTGGGAGACAGAGCAAGACTGTCTCAAAAACAAACTAAGAAATCAATAAACTAGGAGAAGAAGAACTTTAAGTTTATGCAATGCTAGTAACAAGTCAAGCTCTGTGAATCTAACTATAATTAAATTATTTACACATGGGGAGCAATGTTTCTCTTAATGTGCATGTGTCTCAGGCAAGAGAATGAAGGTTAAACTCCCACTGAATGTATTTTACCTTATGTAAAACACAACAGACTTTATGACACTCTTTTGAAGTAAAAATCCTTTGGAAGTCGAGGTTGAACAAGTAGCTTATTTACACAACAGTCATGGGCATTTTGGTGTAAACCACAATAATGCTTCTAACTTACAAAATAAAAATTTCAATTATTTATCTTTCATATCATTTAAAAAATCTTTATTTCACTAAGATTTAAATAGGTTACTTGGAAAAAAGTATATAAAGTTTAATTCTGGTATGTTTTTTACTACACTTAGATGTATTGTCCCCAAATAATATCTAAAAACTAAATGTATTTTCCCCAAACTACACCTCTGATACTTGAACTTTTCATTTGTATTTAACAATATGATAACCATTTCCAGCTCTAGAAAACCCAACTCTATTCTATGTGTATGTGTGTACACACACACACACGCGCGCCCCAATTATGAAATCAATTGGCTGAGGTCTATTTCAATTATTGCAGTTTTGTTACTTATACATGATTCTCAAAGGAAAAAAGACAATTTCTGAAGTTTTTCTTTTCTCTTTTCCACCCTGTGAAATATCAATCCCTACTTTCTCCTGTATAACAAAACAGCTCTATCTTCCTTAAGTGGCAAATTTCACAATAAAACTTGTAGCCAACATCATCTCATTCAACTAATATACTGCTGAATATTTCAGTTTTCAAAACACTAACGTTTTTAATCCTTTCAAAACTTTTAGGGCCGGGCGTGGTGGCTCACGCCTGTAATCCAAGCACTCTGGAGGCCAAGGCAGGTGGATCACCTGAGGTACGGAGTTCAAGACCAGCCTGACCAACATGGTGAAACCCCGTCTTTAAAATTAAAAAACAAAAACAAAAAACTTTTAAGTAGTTACAAGGAAAGCAACAACTTCACACATAGTATGCCTTATTTAATAATCGAATATAAATAATAAGCCATTGTGGCCTGATAAAAGCCCATCTGTTGCATACTTGCAAGTGGTACCAAAACAACCTGTTCAGTATTGCAAAGTTCTCATTTTAATATAAATAGTATTAAAACTCTTCCTGCACTCTGGTATAAGGAGAAAAAGATAAACTTAAGCAAAGCAAAGCAAATTAACAGTGGGAATATCTAAAATCAATGACTTCCAAGGTTGGCAGTGCTAGGGGCATTAAGAGTTTCAGCCCAATCTCTTATATTTTCTATACAGGGACTGTAAGAACCAAAATCAAGGGGGAGGGAAGAGTCCCCCCCCCCACAAAAGAACCAAAATCAAAGAAGTTAATTTCAATATATAGCAGCTTCTGGTAAGGCAGTCTCAGGAAATTTTTCGACAAAGGCCAAGATAAAGAAGGAATTTCTACCTAAAGTTCAGTTGCACAGACTACCCATTCCCACACTCTAGTTGAGCCTTTTACTATACTTTAATAAGTATACAGTTTACCTACTATAAATTCCAGTCTTCAAGTCCAATTGTTTCACCTTTTTTTTTTTTTGGTAGAGATGAAGTCTCATTATGTTGCCCAGGCTGGTCTTGAACTCCTGGCCTCAAGTGATCCTCCTGCTTCAGCCTCCCAAAGCTTTGGGATTATAGGCATGAGCCACCTCACCTGACCTCACCTTATTTTTTGAGTGTTAAAACCAAGAAACCTTCGAAACTGTAGAATACGTGCTTTCTAAGAGCTCACAGCAAGTCTTCCTTTAAGGGAAAATGGCTGTTACCATTTAGGACATCATTCAACACTGTATCTCCTTTGCTAAACAAAAGCCCCTCCACAAACTTCATCTCCAACATTCCCTCAAATAAGTTGTCTTCAAATTATATGCTCATTATTAGAACTTAAGTAACTGTATATAAAACACCAAATAAAGATAAAAACTCTGTCTACACATACTACACAGTATTTAAAGATTAAAACAATCCCATTTAAATATCTCATTTTTTACAATTACTAAAAAATTGTAAAAGCAATGTAGCCTCTAGTCAAATACCTGTACCAAAGGGCCTCCTTTTCACTCACCAAAACGTTAATAGGTAGCAATTCTCCAATGAAAAATTGTCCTGTTAAGCACCAACTGGTTAACTAGGTATCAAAGAATACACCCATTCAGTTCCCCATAAACTTACTTGGTGTATTTACCTAAGACATTTCTAACAAAGTCTTAAAGGTATCCACAAACACCAACCACTGTCAATCGTTGGTAACAAGAACAAGTTCATGGAAAAGCATGTTTTCATCAGATATTTAAGGCTTTTAGAAGCTTGGAAATTGGGTCATCAAAGTAATGGTAACTGAATACCTAACATAGTTTATACACAAGGGTGTAGAATACAAATGATTACAACAATATCAGCATCTGTAAAAATTTCTCTTCAAGAAGCTGTAAGTCATTTCTTATGTTAATAAGTGTTCAGAACCCACTACTGCAACAGCTCTAACCGGTTCCTTGAAGAATGTGGCTAGGCTGAAATTTTGGAAGTGTTGGCTTTGGTGGTGACCAAGGAGGAAGAAGTCTCTGGCTTCCCTGTTGCTGAAGTTCCCACCCTCCAAAATGAATATACCCACCGGTGTGAATTGACAATGTGGTCCAAAGAGCAAGGCAGGAAACGGAGTCCAGATCCTCAAAATGGTAGTACAGGGCATAACCACTAGGCCACCTATCAGTTCAGTACAAAAAGTACAACCCTGCGCATCATGGTGTAAAAGCTGGGGCCTAGGTTTCGCATTGTGCATCTCACACCTATGGAAATAACAAGAGGAGTAAAATCTATAGAAATCAACACACCCTAAGAAGGTGGGTGCTCACAGAAGACTGGTATCAACATTTTGGTAAAGGTGGTTGGCTGCTGAGATAATGAATGGCAATTACAAGTCCAATTTTGGAGGGAAACAAAATTTTTACAATCAACACTGTTGAGTTTGACAATGAAGAACCCAACATGGGCTTGATGTTTACCAACAAGGCTTTGCAAATCATGACACCCATCTTCTCACTTATAAAAATTACTACCCCACAAAAATCCATCATCTCTCAAGAATGATTTTTACCTCTCAAAGAACTGGAAAGATTTGGGCTATGATGAAGGGAGTTAATCAGCAATGCCCCCAAACCTGTTACTTTCAGGTTTCAAACCTTCTCCTTTACCACCAGACTTATGGTGACACATTCAAAATGTTATTCTAGAGAAAGGGAATCCGAACCAAGGATGTGCCAAGGTGATTCGTCAAGAACAAATGTGGGCTGTCTGAGGGCCAACAGTTTTGAAAAAGTAAAAAGAGCAAACTTCTAAAATGCACGGTGGGCTCTTTAAAAGAAGTAAAATCACTGCTCTTGACTCACTTAATCCTTCGCCATGTTGCTGTCAGCTCACCAACTAAGTGCGAGTATGACTTGCTGGGCCCATTTTCCCATGGTCTGTAGAAGGCGCTGTGAAGCACATCCTGTTCTAGCTCGGGGGCCCTTCCCCCCTCTGCAGCCTTACCCAGTGCAGAGAACGCGCCCCCTACTGACTCCAACACTCATCGCCTTTAGCCGACTTGGCTGCGGTGCATTTTGGGTGGGGGCTGGTATTTTCTCCATGGCCATAAACCAGAAGCAACAATGCAGATTTCTAAAGAAACTGTATCAAGCTATCCAAAAGATTCTTTTTTTTCTTGCCATTCTGAAGGTTCAAGACACAGGCACAAGAAGCATCAGGGATGGGAACTGGGTGTGTGGGATGGACAGCATTAACATGGCAAACACAGGAAACAGTTTGGTTTTTTCCCTCCTAAGCCTTTGTCTGTAAAATGGGGTTATGGCAAGAAGTGTCCAGAGAAACTGGTGAATGCAAAAACATTAAGAAGACTTCGCGTGTGTGTGTGTGTGTGTGTGTGGGGTGTGTGGCTAAAAAGGTATCAGATCTAGAGTCTTGCCTTGGGCAGAAGAGGAAGAGAAGCAATCGCGCCTTTTCCAGCAGACAGGGATCAAGGTTGGGGGGGAGGGGAAGGCAGGCAAGCAGCCCAGAGGAAAGAAGAGGTGAATAAGAGGGTGCTCCCCAAACTACTCCCCATTCATTACGAGAAAATCTTTTTGCAGCTTTCCGGATTTCCATTTTCTACCATCTTACTGCAAAGTTAGGGCTCAGAATGTTCGAAAGAGGTGCTGACCAGGCAGCTGAGATTGGGAAAAAGGATGGTTGGTAGACTGTGGTCAGGACAGGAGGGAAGCTGGCAGGTTGGGAAGGAAGGATTGCACAGTGGAGGCAAAGACTTTCACTCCGTGCCATGCACGCTCCCCGGCCCCCCAACCCCGTCCTCCCTCCCCCAGCTAAGGGTGGGTAGACCTGGCAGAAGGCTCGTTCCAGGCATGGGAGTGTGCGTGGGGGGTCTCCTTTTGGGGGTGGGGGGCGGATGGGATTAGTTCTAGGGATGGGAGAAGCTAGGTTCAGGCTGGGGGCGGGGTGGGGGAGATGCCATTAGCTGCAAAAGCTCCCGGCAGCCAGGCTGGCTGCTGGCCTCGGTGGGCTCACGGGGCGGAGAAGGGGGTCGGGCTGCAGGAGGAGGCGCCTGGACCTCCAGAGCAGAGCCGGGTAGCGGTCCGTGCCGGGACTGGCGGCCCGTCGGCGCCGGGGTGTGCAAAGAAGCGTGTGTGCGGCTGGAGGGCGGCGATGCGAACAACAATGCGCCCGCGCCCGGGGCCGGGCTGGGCGGACGGCCGCGCGGGCCGGGGTCGGGAGGCAGGGCAGGGCCGCGGGTCCGCGCGCGGCGGCGCCAGGCTTACCTTGACTCGGCCTCAAGGCGCGCGCGGGGCCGGCGTGCTCGGGGGCCGGACGGCGGCGGCGGGCGGATGGCGGCGGCACGGCGGTGGCGGCAGCGGGGAGGGCGCGCCCGGGGCCTCGTCGCGCTCCGGCTCGGCGGGCTCCGGCTCGCGCCGCGGCCGCGGGTGCTGCCGGGGGGCGCGGCGGGCGCAGCAGAGCGGCGGGCGGCGGCGGCGGCGTCGTCGAGCGGTGCAGACAAAGGAGGGGCGGAGGGAGGAGACGGAGGGTGTGGGAGAGGCGGCTTCACCGGCGCGGGCGGCGGCGGCCGCGCTCCTCTCGCTCCTCAGCAGCGCGGACCGAGAGAGGGAGCTGTGTCTGAGAAGACGCCAAAATCCCCCTTAGCGCTGCCTGCGGGAGTGGGAGGGGGCACAAGATGGCGGCGGCTGGGGGGGCGGGAGTTCAGCTCATGGATCCCGGCGGGCGGCGGAGGGGAGACCGGGCCAGCGGAGGCGGCGGCGGCAACAGGCGGGGGAGGGGGGCTGATCCCGCGTCTCCCCTCAGCAGACAATACAAGCGCCTCGGACCGAGTCCCCGAACCTGCCCTAGCCAAAATGGCGGCCGAGAAAGAGAGGAAGTGACGTAAGTGCCTCATTAGCATAAGAGGACTCATTGTCCAGCTAAGTGGGGGGGGCAGTGGGGACAGCACCCCTAACCCCCTTTCCCCCAGGGGGGGTCCCTCTTAGTCCCACCTGGGCTTGCACCTAACTTTTCCAGGGGGAGGGTGCTCTCAGAACCCCCACCCCCGCCTGAGGGAAATTATATAATCCCCACTGAGGGGGGGAGCTCTCGCGAGAACCAGGCGGATTTACCATTGACCCACTAGGAGGCGCCGTGGATAATGGCCGCAGTGCGCTCCCAGGGCCCGTGTGCTCGGCGGGCGCCTTCCTCTGGCCGCAGCGCCGGCGGCGGAGGCAGAAGCAGCGGGCCGCAGCACGCCCAGCACTCAGTCAGGTGGCCGTGCTGGGGATCCCTGCGCGGGCCCAGCTGGGCCTGGACTACATCTGGCGGGAGGGGTGTGCAGGGCGGCCAGGGGCGGCTCCACGTGCTCGGAGGCCCGCGCTTCCTCCACGCCTGAGAAGCGGTGGCAAGGCGCCGGAACACCTGGCCGGTCGCCCCTGACGCCTCCTGCCTTAAATGAGGTGTGAGGGCCTCGTGCTTCACACAGCGACTTGGGATGAGACACAACCCCTAGGCTGCCTGAGCCCTTCCTGGTGGGGTGTTGGGTGCAGAGGGGTCGAATTTTATTAAGGTTCGCCGTTACCCTGTGACTTGCCATTCTTCCCAGTCACAGTGTTGGACTCTTCTCTTTGACCTGAATTTAAAAAATGGGAATCTTGGTGCCTTGAGGCCTCCCAACTGGTGAAACTTCAGCATGAGAAGTGATGTTGCCAATGGGGGCATTGGCTGTCTGCAAGATCCTTAAACAACACACCTTGTAGTCCTAGGGACATAACTTTTGGTGCGCCCACAATCTGGGTAGTGTAAGACAGCACATGGTTATGTTGTAAATTTAGGTCAAACCCAACCAATACATTATTTCCTCAACATTTTTGAACCAACCTTTTAAAGTAGGTTGGTTAAAGTATCATGATTGGTTAAATGTACTAGCAAATAATAGATGTCAATGGTGAAGAATTAACCAAGCCTGTTTCCTTAATATGTGATTTGTAAATACACCTGTCTTTTGCTGTTTCTTTACATTTCAAGTTAACATACTTTTAAGCCATAGTTAACATCCGAAAATAATCTGACTTCGTTGCAAGTAATATAAACTGTGGTTACACATAGCTGCTCAACGTCTAAGGCTTCAGTTAGCCCTGTTTAAAAAACTTTCATACAACACATTTCTGCAATTGTGATAAAATAGCTTAAAAAAATATTTTAAGTCAGTATTTCAAGGGAAAACAGCTGAAAAATGTCGTGGAAAAAGGGGTTGGGGCAAAGCATTTGATTCAAAGAACCAAAGATAATCTAATTACACACTGCAGAAAACAGACAAAAACTAATATGAAATAAGCAAAGTAAGTTTAAGTTTAGTTTTCCTTAGATATACTTAGATTCCATACAGTGATAATACAAATACAAAGGAAAAACATCTGGATTTCATCTTTGGCCTCATTTACAAAGCAAAATAGGATGCTGGATTCAGATGTAAATGTTTAATTTTACAGTGTTTGAGCACCAGATTTACTACAAAAATGCATCTAAATAGTCCAGATTCTTTTCTAAATTACTTCCAAATGCTATGAGTCTTCACTGCTCAAATACTCTAAGTAAATTCTAAGAGTGACAGTGTTGTAATGACTGTGGGAATAACAAATGAAAAGATTTAAAGAGCAAACATCTACTCTAGTGAGATCTGAGAAGGCAGTACTGTGTATTAGGTTCTCTAAGGTGGTTACTTAATTTCTGCTCCACATACTTGACACTGAGAACTTAACTCTGAGTTTAGGTTAAGAAGAATAAATTCTAATCACTCCAAAAAAACTGCGAATATTACATTTCTATTATCTTAGCTTAAAACTAACTGCACATCAAGCACTAATGAATTTTCTTGTTGTTATTAATGAGAAATCTCTTCCCCAAGGAAGGCAGGTCCCTCATTGGACAGCTGGTCAGTTCTGGACAAAAGGAAAACAGTAGTGGTCCTTATTGGAATGTGTATTACGGGTTCAACTACAGAAGTGTGGGAGGTTTTAATGTTTGAAATGACACCACAGGTTTTATAGTCTGGGGTTCATTTCTGGTAGAATCTGTCAGAGAGAAATGCAAATAAAAAATTAGACTTTCAATTTCTTTTCTTTTCTTTTCTTTTAAAAAAAGACAGAGTCTCACTCTGCTGTCCAGGAATGATCACAGGTCACTGCAGCCTTGACCTCTCAGACTCAAGTGAACCTCCCACCTCAGCTTCCCAAGTAGCTGGGAACACAGGTGAGTGCCACCACACCCAGCTAATTTTTTTTTATTTTTTGTAGAGACAGGATCTCCCTCTGTTCCCCAGGCTGGTCTCCAACACCTGTGCTCAAGCTGTCCTCTTGCCCTGGACTCCCAAAGTGCTGGGATTATAGACATGAGCCACTGTACCTGGCCTCAATTTCTTCAGCAGCCAAATTAAGCCAGGAAAATATAGTAATCAGGAATATTATTCAATAAATAATTTAGAGACACCTCTTTTATTTGCAAAAGAAAGTCAACTTAAACTTATTTGCTCAAAGCATGCCCTTACTCAGATTTTAAAAGATACTACATGATCCATAACCTGTGCTACAGTTAGAAATTAACTGATGTCTTCTGAAATACTTAGAGAGAGTAGATAAACATAGTATTAGCCCTGGCTTTATTGGATAGCTTAGCTTGTATATTAACTGGTAGAACACTTTTCTAAATGGAGAGAAGTGCTTAAGGAAGAGATTTTTCATATTAGTAGAGATTGTGAGCTTTGCTGAGGGTCTTCAAATAATATGAAAACAATTCTTTTGAGAAAAAAATTGTTGCACTGGGCTTGGTGGCTCGCACCTCTAATCCCAGCACTTTGGGAGGCCAAGGTGGCTGGATCACGAGGTCAGGATATCGAGGTGATCCTGGCCAACATGGTGAAACCCTGTCTCTACTTAAAAAAAAAGAAAAAAAGTTAGCTGGGCAAGGTGGCGTATGACTGTAATCCTAGCTACTTGTGAGGCTGAGGCAGGAGAATCACTTGAACCCGACAGGCGGAGGTTGCAGTGAGCCGAGATGGCGCCACTGCACTCCAGCCTGGGAGACAGAGCAGGGCTCCATCTTTATTTTAAAAAAAAAAAAAAAAAAAAGAGAGAGCAAGAAACAAATTGTTACATAATTCAGTAAGATGTTTAAAAATTACTGTAGCAGCTATGTTTCTGCCTCAGCATCATTAATACTTTTCAGTACTGATGGAGGTTACTGCTCAAAAGAGAAAAATACGGCTATGTAATCAACTGCTGCCAAATTGTTTCCCAATTCACAATATGCATTTTAAACACACTTGCTTTGGTAGATGAAATGCTTCATCAATTCAACAGCTGAAAAGAATCCAATTCTAAAAGCCTATTTTGAATGTATTTTCTAGTTTAAGAAATTTGAGATGCATTTTTAAGGAAAGGGCAGAGGTGTGTATTTCTTTCACAGATCATACAGATACAGCCATGATATAGCCATAAACATTTCATCAGTTAACATTATCTTACTTCTGACATCTATTAGGTATAAAGATTTATGATTCCAGTATTTATAAAGAATATTTCAAATTATTCTCCATGTTAAAAAATTCTACATTCACATACTCTAATGAAAGCAGCAATACTTTATGCAAAAAAAAAAAATATATATATATATACATTTATTTATAGGTCTTAATACAGCAAAATGTAAATGAAAATTGAGAGCATTGCTCATTAGGCCAGCAACTTTAAAATTACTTAATCTGAAATATAAAATAGAAGTTCTTCATAAAAAAGATGTGTGAAGTTTACCTTACCTTATGGTTTATACTTTAAGAGTACATTTTATCAAAATCAGTAACCAGGCTTCTTTCATGTTTAAATTGAAATGAACATAAGTATAAATGATTATCTTTCTTTTATGTAGTAGCAAAAAGAGTCAATAATCCTCTCAAGAAAGATACTATTTCATTTCCTCCCAACTTGGATTCACCATAAACACGATCCACAAATGATATTGGAACCTAGTTAAAAAAAAAAAAAAATACGTTAAAGTCAGTCTTCAAAAAAAATTAGGTAGCTTAGCAGGTATACCATATTACCAACACAACAGAATTCGGACTAGTCCTACAACAGAAGTCCTTAAAGTAACTATAAAATTAGGGGATTCTTAAAGCAACTATGTGTATCTCCAAGTCTTTAAAATTAAGCGCATCATCTAAAGATAGGTCATATGAACCAATCTACAGCTGTTTAAAAAGCACTGATCCTAGGTATTACCTTGGTTTACTCAAGTTTCAGTTTGCATTTCAAAGAAAAATTATACTCCAAAAGTAAAATGGCCTTTTGCTTAGATTTTTCAGTTGTTTGTCAAATTTAGCTATAACAGCTTAGCATTAAGTAAAACATCTTGCAACTTCCATGGGAGAAGTGACATTTCAGGTTAGCTAGTTTCTTGCTATGAATAAGAGTTTCACTAGTAAATGAGGAGAGTCTTCCCCACCCTAAGAGCTCACTAGCTAGCCCTAAGTATTACAGATCACCACTCCCTTGGCTCTATAATTCCTGGTCTTCACTTACAGGAAATGGACATATGGGATTCGTCATTCATTTTAAAGCATGGTGGACACTGGCTGTGGCAAAAGGAAAAGCAGAGAGACTCAGTCCATAATGCTGACCAGTTAGAAGGAAGGCTAGGATTGAGAAAGTACCAGGAACTTTCCATTATTTAAAAGACAATGCTAACTGTTAATGTTTTGTTTTGTTTTGTTTTGTTTTGTTTTGTTTTTGAGACGGAGCTTGCTACCCAGGCTGGAGTGCAATGGCGCGATCTCGGCTCCCCACAACCTCCGCCTCCTGGGTTCAGGCAATTCTCCTGCCTCAGCCTCCTGAGTAGCTGGGATTACAGGCACGCGCCACCATGCCCAGCTAATGTTTTTTGTATTTTTAGTAGAGACGGGGTTTCACCATGTTGACCAGGATGGTCTCGATCTCTTGATCTCATGATCCACCCGCCTCGGCCTCCCAAAGTGCTGGGATTACAGGCTTGAGCCACCGCGCCTGGCCAACTGTTAATGTTTTAAATCTTATTGTTCAAATGTACTAATGTGAATTTTTACCCTTTGTGCATGAACATTCTAAACAACCAGAAGACCTTCACAATTTAGCAGTTATGAAGTTAAACTTTTTATTACAAAAAGTCTAAACTTTACTGCTCCTTTACCAGGAACATGACTATTTAGCACCAGTTGCATACCTCACCAATAGTATAATTCAACTGTCTTGCCCGAACAATCATCTCCATCTGGAAGACGTAGCCTTTAGAAACACATTTTTCTATTAATTTCTCTAGAACTTCTTTTCGATATAATCTGTAAGAAATCAGAAAATATATATATCAACTTCTGGATAAATACACTTGCCTACATGTATCTTGACCTTTCAAAGAGTTCACTGGTATGTATAAAGCCTAAAACTTCCACTGGCCATTGGTAAACAGAAAAGCTCACAAAGTTGATGATTATGATACCTTTGTCCTAAGCAAGAAAGGCCATTAAATATTTGCTAAATAACTTAGAATAATTTTGAAAATGAATTCTCAGTATCTTTTAGAGAATTATTTTCCCATCATACTATCAGAAATTATTGAAATATAGTAAAACAAATCATTTGATGCAGAAGCATCCATTATTTAAGATTTCCTTAAAATTTAAAGTTGAAAGAACTGTTCCAAACACTGAAACAAGAGTGGACAAATAATGATGAAGCAACAATATATAAGAGATAACAAAAAAGAACCTCATAATTAACAGTCATTTCCCAATAAATGTTTATGGTAAGTTTTGATTTCTCATGATTTCCTTTGTAAATTCCCTAGGATAAACTAAGTCCCTCTAGGATGAGCTTGGGAAGCTAGATTAAAACAGGAACTAGACATCACAGGATAGAAAAAAGCCTGGTGGGATTCACCTATCACCAATTGAGGTCAGTTAGACACTTAACAGCAAGTGAATGTGCAGCCTAACTTTAGATGGACTGCAGGCCAAATACCAGATTTACAAGGTGACACAGTGGAGTTGGGCTGTCCAGTGGGTAAACCCAAGCACTTTCTTCGGTAACTAAATAGCAGGGAGCTCCCTATTTTCAGACTCACAGACACTGTAACTTTTTTTTTTTTTTTTTAAAGATCAGTGTCTCAGTAGGGAGGCAGCAATTTCTACCTTTTTTTGTGGGGAGAGGGGAGAAAACTAGGAAAGGTAGTTTGGTGAAACTTTGTTCTTTTCAAAGTTAAGGCCATCTGGACCTACTGTGCCGCAGGGTTTCACCTTGAATCCACATTTTTTTCCCTCAGACTTCTAAGGTGACAGTATCTTTTGACTATGAAGTGAGTATAGGACAACAAAGCCCTTAGAAGAACCCAACGGAGCTTAGTGTGTGCACTCCTTTATCCACCCAGTCTCCTTAAGGATTCAAAGGAATAAATTTGGAATAAATATGAAGAGAGGAGAATCTGATGGTAGTAATATTTATTCAATAACAAACATTTATTGACCAACATATCGGGTTTCAGATACTTTTTAATGTTTTGCCGTATAGAGTGGACTAAAAACTAAAATAAAGATATATAATATGTCAGATGCTGTTAGGTAGGGGAGGGAGCACTGGGATTGTGGGGTGGGAAGAACTATGATGGGCCAATGTTTTTGCATTAGCTTTATTTATATATTTGTATTTTGAGAGACAGGATCTCACTCTGTTGCCTAGAGTATAGTGGCAAAACCATGGCTCACTACAGCCTCAGTTTTCCAGGCTCAAAAGATGCTCCTACTCTAGCCTCCCAAGTAGCTGGGTCTACAGTCACCTGCCACCATGCCTGGCTAATTTATTTTTTTAGTTTTTGTAGAGACAGAGTCTCACTATGTTGCCAGAGCTGGGGTCTTGAACTCCTGGGCTCAAGCAACCCTCCATCCTTGGCCTCCCAAAGTGCTGGGATTACAGGTGTGAGCCACCATATCCAGCCAGCATTACTTTTAAAATTGAGATTAGATTATAAAATATTTCCTGACTGTACGAGTTGCTTTATTCTCGTTAAGAATCATTTTTTAAGATATTTATTTTCACTGCCACCTCCCTCTTCCCCATCCCCATGATATCTTTTAACATTGTAGCTAGTAAAGTAAAATGTTATGCCAGGCACAGTGGCTCATGGCTGTAATCCCAGCACTTTGGGAGGCCAAGGCGGGCAGATCACCTGAGGTCAAGGGTTTGAGACCGGCCTGACCAACATGGTGAAACCCTGTCTCTACTAAAAATACAAAAATTAGCTGGGCATGGTGGTATGTACCTGTAATCCCAGCTACTCAGGAGGCTGAGGCAGGAGAATCGCTTGAACTTGGGAGATGGAGGGTGGAGTGAGCTGAGATTGTGCCACTGCACTCCAGCATGGGCAACAGAGGGAGATTCCATCTCAAAAAAAAAAAAAAGTAAAATGTTACATGAAGCCATATAATGCTATGAATAGGATTAGGATCCAGGTGATCTATGCTATTAAATGGCATATTAGACTGTAGACTTCCTAAGATTCCTTTTCTTATTTTGTAAAAAGCATCTGCTTCCTAAATCTAGGGATTTAATGAAAAAATGAGTTTTGTCTAATGACAACTGAACTTTAATGATGTATTTAAGAAAATACCACTCTTATGAGAAGACAATGAGATTTAACTATTTAAAAATTATGCAATTAACAGGCTCACTTTTGTCTGTTTGGCCACTCTGTCACTTGTACAGAACACAGCTAATCACTGCTCTCAAATACATGAAAATCCAGAACCCCATCCCCTCCATTAATCTTTGTGCAGTTCTGATGCAGCAAAGCACCCTCACCCCATTCCTCTCCCTGTTGTGCTTTTCTTCACAGCCTCTCTCTCTACAACCAGTTACTGTGGGTTTTTATTCAAACTCATCAAAACTGTGGCCTGTGAAATCCACAATGGCCCTTCCCTCCATACAGAGATTTTGTGTGTGCCACTATTCTTTGCATTGTTGCCACATGGCAATCAGAGATCTTTTTTTTTTTGACAGGGAGTCTTGCTCTGTCACCAGTGGCGCAATCTTGGCTCACTGCAACCTCTGCCTCCAGATCTCAGGCGATTCTCCTGCCTCAGCCTCTGAAGTAGCTGGGACTACAAGCACATGCCACCACACTGGGCTAAGTTTTTATTTTTAGTAGAGATGGGGTTTCACCATGTTGTCCAGGCTGGTCTTAAACTCCTGACCTCAACTGAACCATATGCCTCGGCCTCCCAAAGTGCTGGGATTATAGATGCAAGCCACTGCCCATCTACCAGCTACCACCCAAACGCAACCAGAGATCTTAATCAGATCACAAATGATTCTTGCCTTAGGGTATATCCTCCCCTCTCTTTCATCCCCAAGTTCAGCTCTCCAATCTATTTGCTTTTTAGTTCTAGAGGCTTCATTTTTCTTTTTATTTGACTGTCAACAGCCAGCTGTGTGTGTGTGTGTATTATCACATTTAAAAATGTAAATTTTCCTGCATTGAGCGAAGGACCCAAGAATCAACACTATTCAGTGGAAAAAATAAGTATCAACTAATATAAATTATCAGGTAATCTATGGGGGGCGTGAGGCCACTGAAGTAGATGCAGGGGTATTTTATAGTTCCAGAGTCCAAAAAAAAAAAAAAAAAAAAAAAAAAAAGGTCTGGCAAGTTTTGTCATTTACCATGGTCAGTCACACAAAGCAGCTCACATCTACTACAGCAAATCTAGAATACCACCCCATACACCCAGAAACAAGCAGACACACAAAACTCTGAGGGACCAAAGCTTTGACAAAATTAAACAACAAAAAACATTTCTTAAACATATGGGGAACAAGGTAACTGAGAGAGCTCTACATAAATATTAAAGAGTTTAACCTTTTCTGTGGACAATGCTTTAAGTATTCACATGAAATGCAGAAAATTACTGAAATATGTGCTGTTCTTTGGAACAGATTTATCAGTAATAGCAACGTTTCAAAGAGTGGTTGAGCCTTAACACTAATATTAACAAGCACACAAACCTAACCCCTGCCTTAAACTTTTTTTTTTTTTTTTTTGAGATGAAGTTTCGCTTGTGTTGCCCAGGCTGAAGTGCAATGGCATGATCTTAGCTCACCACAACCTCTGCCTCCCAGGTTCAAGAGATTCTCCTACCTCAGCCTCCCAGGTAGCTGGGGTTACAGGCATGCACCACCACACCCGGCTAATTTTTGTGTTTTTAGCAGAGATGGGGTTTCTCCATGTTGGTCAGGCTGGTCTCAAACTCCCGTCCTCAGGTGATCCACCCACCTTGGCCTCCCAAAGTGCTGGGATTACAGGCGTGAGCCACCATGCCTGGCCTCAACTTTTTAAAAGAAAAGCACAATATGTCTCCTTAAGATGTTTAGGCTTCATTAGCAACTTCTAGGAATTTAGACTGCCTTTTTAGTATCCCAGAATAAAAACAAGGTGGAAATGTAAAGCATCTCTTAAAAATATCCATTGTAAAGAAAACTAGCTAGCCAATAAATAGTGTAAATTTTCACTGTACCTGAAACTTCCTGTTAAATCAGATGCTCCTGGTCTCAGCAAAATCTGAGTTAAAAAATTGGCCCCACGGCTGCCAAACAAAACAATCAGATTTTCTTTACAAAATATAATTTATAAACAAGAGAAACACATCAAAGAACAGAGTGTTAAAATGCTATGCTAATTTCATAAATGTAACATTAATTTCACAAAAATGTTATTTATCTAGACCAAAAGAGAGATTTTTAGTCAATGAAAGGAGATCTGGCTAGAAGCAGTGGCTCATACCTGCAATCCCAGCACTTTGGGAGGCCGAGATGGGTGGATTGTTTGAGCCCGGGAGTGATCAGCCTGGGCAACATGGCAAAACTCCATCACTACAATATATATATATATATATAAATAAAAGCTGGGCGTGGTAGTGCGTGCCTGTAGTTCCAGCTACCTGGGAAGCTGAGGCGGGTGGCTCACCTGAGCTCAGGAGTTCGAGAGCAACCTGGGCAATGTGGTGAAACCCCATCTCTACAAAAAATAACGAAAATTAGCCAGGCATGGTGGCGTGTGTCCGTAGTCCCAGCTACTTGGGAGGCTGAGACAGGAGAATTGCTTGAGCCCGGGAGGCAGAGGTTGCAGTGAGCTGAGACTGTGTGGTTACACTCCAGTCTGGGCAACGGAACGAGTCTCTGTCTTAAATTTAAAAAAAAAAGTAAAACATGCACGGTAACACAATTAAATGACACAAACAGAATTTTAACCCAGGTCTGTCTGAAATCAATTTTTATTAAAATAACACTATAATTATAGGGGTGACACCCTACATATTAAGCCTAAAAGTATGGAACCGGTTACATAAATTAAAATTGAAGGTCCAGTATAGTAACTTTTGCTGAATGAAACCACTTCTACCAAAGGTCCAAAGGTTTATGCTGATTTTTCCTTAATAAAAAACATCCAGGCTTTAATCACAAGAAAAACTGTAAGAAACTATCTGGGAATATCTACTGGAAGTTGTAACCTGATCCCACAAATCCCAGGCAGCAAGGTAGTTAATACTTGCTATGAAGATATTTCAAGTAGTTATACTAACAAAGAAGTCATAACACATGTACCTACCTGATTATTTTTCTTTTCAAATCCCAGCCATATACACCTCCATTTCCTTTGTAGCGAGTTCCAGAGACAATATCAAAATTACCCTCCTTTTGCTTCCTGTAGAATAAATTAGCTGTCTATTAGAAAAAGTCATTGAGCTTTCAACAGCCATTTTCATGAGCTACACAAACAAAACGTTTAAGAGAAGCTGGCACAAGTTGGGCATGGTGGCTCACGCTTGTAATCCTAGCACTTTGGGAGGTCGAGGTGGGTAGATCACGAGGTCAGGAGTTCAAGACCAGCTGAATTGAAACCATTTCTACCAAAGGTGAAACCCCGTCTCTACTAGAAACACAAAAATTAGCTGGGCATCATGGCGGGCACCTGTAATCCTAGCTACACGGGAGGCTGAGGCAGAGAATTGCTGGAACCTGGGAGGTGGAGGTTATACTAAGCCGAGATCCCACCACTGCACTCCAGCCTGGGCAACAGAGTGAGACTCCATCTCAAAAAAAAAAAAAAAATACTGTCAGGCATGGTGACACATGCCTTTAGTTTCAGCTATTTGGGAAGCTGCAATGGGAGGATCGCTTGAGCCAGGGACGTTGAGGTTGTAATGATCTGTGATTGTGCCACTGTACTCCAGCCTGGGTGACCTTGTCTCTAAAATTAAAATAATTAATTTTCTAGCCAGGTGCGGTGGCTCACGCCTGTAATCCCAGCACTTTGGGAGGCTGAGGCGGGCAGATCACCTGAGGTCAGGAGTTCGAGACCAGCCTGACCAATATCGTGAAACCTCGTCTTAAAAATAAATAAAAAATAATTTCCTTCTATTCTTAAGTTTTAACTAGAAAATGGTAGTAAATATCTCCTTTAGCATCTACAGGCTTAATCACACTACTTTTTTTGTTAACATGATAAATGAATTATATTGCGTGATTATCAATAATGTGCCATTTTGGCCTTCCTGGAATAAACTCTATTTGTTCATGGTGTTTTACTCTAGTAACTCAAGGCTTCATTCCATTTATCAGAGAAGCCATCTTCCACCTTTTTCTGTGGTCTGAGGAATTCAGATAACAAAGGAAGTACCTGTTGATTTGCTCCTGAGGACTCCTGAAATACATCATTTAGTCTCTGAAACGTGTGTTGCGTGTGTGTCTACTATCTATATAGATAAATAAATATTTTAGAGACAGGGTCTCACTCTGTCTCAGGGTCACCAAGACTAGAGTGCAGTGGCATGACCATAGCTCACTGCAGCCTTAAAGTCCTGGGCTCAACTGATCCTCCCACCTGAGACTCCCGAGTAGCCAGGACTACAGGCGTGCCAGTTTTTCTGTAGCGACAAAGCCGCCTTTTGTTGCCCAGGTTGGTCTCAAACTGCTGACTTCAAGAAACCCTCCTGCCTTGACTTCCCAAGCTTTTGCTGTATTTTTGATAGAAAAAAACAGCATGAGTGTTTTTGATTAATAAAATTAAAATATGCCCAAAACCAGTATGATAAATTATTTCAGTCATATTTCTTTCAAATATTAGAAATAGTACCTACCTAATGAATTCAGGAACAAATTTTGGCTGAAATTTGGAAAGAATAAACAGCAAGTCAGTAAAATAGGCTAAGACTATCATAAATAGCTAATAAAGAAATTTACCACTTACATGGTGTGAGAGATCAGCATCCATAATAATTATGTAGTTTCCTGTGGCATGTTTCATTCCATGAATATACGCAGTTCCTAAAAGTGAAAGTATATCCATTCAAGAAAACCAACAGAAATCTTTACATATACATTTGAACATGGAGGAAATTGTTTAGCAGCTGAAAAGCACCCATTAGTCCTCTAAAAGTGGTATTAATAAATTGGTATTTTTCACCTTAAGTACATAGGTTCACGTATATAATCAAGACGGTAGCTGGCCACACACCTCCAGAGATGTCAATTTAACAGAAGAGATCATACCTCTGTTTCAGTTTAGCATAGAAAAGAGTTTATAAGTTTAAAAGTCTGAGGTTACATAACAATTACATATTCTTATACTTTAAAAAACCCGTCTGGAGTTTCCTTAGAGTTCCCCTAGACACTGAAAAGGTTAGACCTCTTCTTAGAGCTCCACATTTACAAGTCAGCACCAACTATCCAACTGCCCCATCTACAGGTCTAGAGATGATTCTTGATTTCCTGCCTTTAACCATAACTTCTAAACTATAATTAAGTCCTATCGATTCTCTATCCAAAACATCTCAATTCCCTTTTTCTTCTCTACCTTCTGATGCTTAGATGGCTACCTAACAAGGCTTCTAGCTTCTGCTCTTTCCAGCACTAAGTCCATTTCCACAAAAGCTACACACAGAGTATCTTTTACACTGGTATGCTAGACCCCTGCTCCAGTATTTCGGGCCAAAGGCCTACCTGACAATTACTTAGCCAGCTCCATGCCTCAAAGTCCCACAGGGACTTGGCAGGGTAGGATAATTGGTCAGGAGCAGGACTTGGGGAGCCCTGCATTCTCTACCCCAGACCCTTCACAAGTGTCTTATGAGCAAGGCTGAGCTATTCTAACTTACTTTGTTAAGTAGTGAATATTGGCCAGGTGTGGTGGCTCATGAGTGTAATCCCAGCACTTTGGGAGGCTGAGGTGGGGGAATCACTTGAGCTCAGGAGTTCAAGACCAGCCTGGCCCAACAAGGTGAAACCTCATCTCACTAAAAATACAAAAAATTAGGCCGGGCGTAGTGGCTCACGCCTGTAATCCAAGCACTTTGGAGGCCAAGGCGGGCGGATCACCTGAGGTTGGGAGTTCAAGACCAGCCTCATCAACATGGTGAAACCCCGTCTTTAAAAAAAAAAAAAAAAAAAAAAAAATAGCTGGGCATGGTGGCACACTCCTGTAATTCCAGTTACTCAGAAGGCTGACTCACAAGAAATCACTTGAACCCAGGAGGCAGAGGTTGCAGTGAGCCAAGATTGTGCCATTGCACTCCAGCCTGGGCATCAGAGCAAGACTCTGTCTCAAAGAAAAAAGAAAAAGAAAAGAAAAAAAGAAGTGAATATATACACTACACTTTTTGGTTTTACAGCAGTTTTCAGATTTTTTTTTTCAATCCCAAAGAATTTTCTGGGTTCAGATTCTGAGAACATCTGATGATGCTTGGGAATTGATGGTCTTCAGGATAACAGACTCCAGTTAAGAACTGTGCTGTCTCCATGCTTATTCGACATTGCAAATCTGACCAACAGCACAAGTAAAGGCAGAGTTTCATCTCAGAATTACCAAGCTCATATGAGCTTTTCAATAATGCTGTATGTTTAAAAGCTGGGAAATCTTCCTTCTTTAAAAATAAAGAATAACTTTTTTTTGAGACGGAGTCTCACTCTGTCACCAGGCTGGAGTGCAATGTCATGATCTTGGCTCACTGCAACCTCCACCTCTTGGGTTCAAGCGATTCTCCTGACTCAGCCTCTTGAGCAGCTGGGACTACAGGCACGTGCCACCATGCCCAGCTAAGTTTTGTATTTTTAGTAGAGATGGGGTTTCACCATGTTGGCCAGGATGGTCTCGATCTCTTGACCTTGTGTTCCACCAGCCTCAGCTTCCCAAAGTGCTGAGGTAACAGGTGTGAGCCACTGCACCAGGCCTTAAATAAAGAGTAAGTTTTTAAACTTATAACTTAAAGAATATTCCTAGGTTTGCAGCGTGCTGGTCCAAGATGTTTGCCCTCAGACCCATTCTCTGGCCCTTCCCTACTCTGTGCTATATTGTAATGAACTACATTTTCCAGATTCTCTTGTCAACTGGCTGCCAAACACCTTTGGGACGTACAGGCGAAGACAGGAGGGAGAAGAGAAGGGAAAAGTTTAAGTCTAAGTCCTCCCTATTTTACTTTCCCTCCCACCTCTGACTGGGAATTTCCCACAGTTCTAGCTCCTGCCAGGCAGCCCCCAACCCATCATTCTAGCTCCCTCTGGGCAGCCCAGGTTCTTGGGCTCTAAAAACATCTTTTCCCACTGTTGCTCCATCCCTAGGAGTGACAGTGACCTCCAGCTATTACTAATCTTGTTTTAGCCTCACTGTTTCATTTGGTTTCTCAGGAATTCCTTCACTGGTGTAACCAGAGACTGTATCATATTCCCTGCACTGAAAGACTTACAGTGGTTTCTGTTTTCCTGAGTGGGCCTTGACTTATACAGGTATCCCAAGTTATTCCATTTAAAAGTCATTAAGACCATTAAAAACTATCACAGGATGTTACTGTATTTTGGCCCTATTCCAAACTGGGAAAATACACACTGGATGATCTCACCAGGCAAATAGCAGGTATGAGCGATTAGAAGTTCCACTACTTACCTAGTCCCAGCTTTTTCTCTCGTGGTCTTAGAAGCTGTAGGAATAAGAAACAACATTTTACACAAAGAAACAAAAATCTTATCATGTTAAATCTTACTTTATTCAAAAGTGCATACTGACTTTAATAGAAATATAGTAGCACTTATTAGAACTTAAAGCAAAGTATGCCTAATATTTTTTTTTTGCCAAAAGAAAAAAAAAAGCATTTGGTAACAGACCAAATAGTTTAACACAGCTTCTAAGGAAAAACAACATTCTTTAACCCAACTCTACAATCAAAATTTTAAACTTTTTTTTTCCTGGTGATATTGACTCTATTTTAAATATGTCCTTACATCTATTATGTGGTTTTCCTTTTAAACCTATTGATTCCTTCCTAGAAAAATGTAGGACTTAACTCACTATTTCATACCTTCTTGGGAAATCTGATGTTTGTTCTCTCAATTCCCTTGGGTTTTGAACACTAGTATCACTCTTCCTCTACCAACTTACCTTGACCTTATGCTTGGTTGACCTCATCTCCTCTACTGGTCTAAGGACATGTCATATTCCTAATAAAAAGGTTAAATTCTTTCTCTTTTCTTACTACTTGTCAGTTACTTAGTCCTTCTAAATCTTTTTGCTTAATAGTTGGACCCTGACTTTATTGTTTAGCTTTTTCCTCTCGGCTGGACACTTAAAAAGTCGAATGCCAAAGTTCTCACTCTGCCTTACGTTCCTGAGGTATGGGATTCAGGTGGACTCATTAGTGAGCATGTCTTGTCTATCTGTTCCCTTCTTTACTTGCAGGTATATAAACAGGTTGCCTCTGACTGCAAATCTCTCAACAAAGCATTTTCAATTCAATTAAAGAAGGATGAATTTTTTTTTCACTACATGCAAATTCTCTCTATTCTATGCAAATAGAAACCTGTTATAGGTTTCTATTTGCATAGAACGCATTTTCCATCCCTTCACTTTCAGTCTATATGTGTCCTTACAAGTCTTTTGTAGGCAGCATATAGTTGGTTCTTTTTAAAAAAAAATCCAGTCACTCTAGGTCTTTAGATAATTTAATCCCTTTATATCCATGGTAATCACTGACATGTAAGAACTTACTACTACCATTTTGTTAATTGCTTCTAGTTGTTTTGTAGCTCTTTTGCTTCTCTATTTCCTCTATGGTTATGATTAAGTTATTTTCTCTAGTGTTATGCTTTGATTCCTTACTTTTTATCTTTTGTGAATCTACTTTAGACTTTTCCTCTATGATTACCATGAGACTTACAAAAAACATCTTACAGCGATAATAGGCTATTTTAAGCTAATAACAATTTAACTCTAACTGCTAAAAAAAAAAAAAAATCCTCTACACTATTATTCCACTATCCCACATTTAAAATTTTTTAAGTCACAATTTACATCTATAGCAAAGTACATCTTGCATAAAGATGGATAAAATACACTGCTGTCTGGTAAGAGTTTACAGGGAGAAAAGACATTCAAATAAGCATCTATGATAATTGCAAGTCACTGAAAAAAATCAAACAGGATATATCAGATCACAGCTAGATTTAATTTGAATAGTTTCTGACAAAATACTGACCCCATCTGTTATCTGCCCTGAAAAAGCAAATCTTATAAAGCTCATCTGAGATTTTCTATAACTGCTTCAGCTAGAAAATCTTTCTTTTAAGAAAAGGTAACTTTCACTACATGCAGTGGCTCTCTCCTGTAATCCCAGCAGTTTGGGAGGCTGAGGTGGGTAAATCATTTGAGGTCATGAGTTAGAGACCAGCTTGGCCACCGTGGTGAGACCCTGTCTCTACTAAAAATACAAAAATCAGCCAGGCATAGTGGCGCACCCCTGTAATCCTATCTATTCAGAAGGCTGAGGTAGGAGAATCACTTGCACCTGGGAAGTAGAGGTTACAGTGAGCTGAGATCGCGCCACAGCACTCCAGCCTGGGTGACAGAGTGAAACTCAAAAAACAAACAAAACTTTGTTATAGTTGCACACCCACTAAACCCCATGGGATACTTTCTAAGACCTCCAAGGGATGCCTGTAATCTCCAAAAGTACCAAACCTCATATATACTTTTTCTTATCTATACATATCTATTACAGTTTAATTTATAAATTAGGCACAGTAAGAGATTAACAATACCTAATAATAAAATAAAACAATAATAATAATATATTGTAATAAAAGTTATGTGAACTTGGTCTAACTCAAAATATCTTCTGTACTGTACTTACCTCTTTTCAGACTGCAGGTAACAAACCATGGAAAGCAAAACCATGGACAAGAGAGACTACAATACTTAAAATTTTCAGAGTGTTCAAAGGTTTATATAAAATATTACAATACTACGGAGCAACTAAGGAAATAAGGTGATGACAAAAGTTCTTCAAGATAGAAGTAATGATGATATAGGAAGATGACAGAAACAAGACCACCACACTACCTAGTTTTACAAATATACACACACATATGCATAAAAAAACACATCAAACTGTTGACCTGGGTCTCCCCTGGGCAAGGGAATGGGATGCCTATTAGAAAATGTTCATCAGGCCAGGCACAGTGGCTCATGCCTGTAATCCCAGCACTTTGGGAAGCTGAGGTGGGCAGATGACCTGAAGTCAGGAGTTCAAGACCAGCCTGACCAACATGATGAAACCCCGTCTCTACTAAAAATACTAAAATTTGCTAGCATAGTGGTGCAGGTCTGTAATCCCAGCTACTCGGGAGGCTGAGGCAGGAGAACCGCTTGCGCTCAGGAGGCTGAGTTTGCAGTGAGCTGAGATTGTGCCACTGCACTCCAGCCTGGGCAACAGAGCAAGACTCGAAAGAAGAAAAGAAAGAAAGAAAGGAAAGAAAGAAAAGAAAGAAAAGAAATGAAAAGAAAAGAAAAGGAAAGAAAGGAAGGAAGGAAGAAAGAAAGAAAAGAAAAGAAAGGAAAGAAAGGAAAGAAAAAGAAAGAAAGGAAAGAAAGAAAGAAAGAAAGAAAGAGAAAAGAAAAGAAAAGAAAAGAAAAGAAAAGAAAAGGAAAAGAAAAGAAAGAAAGGAAGGAAGGAAGGAAGGAAGGAAGGAAAGAAAGGAAAGAAAGGAAGAAAGAAAGAAAGAAAGAAAGGAAGGAAGGAAGGAAGGAAGGAAGGAAGGAAGGAAGGAAGGAAGGAAGAAAGAAAGAAAAAAAGAAAGAAAGAGAAAGAAAGAAAGAAAGAAAGAAATGTTCATCAAAGGCAACTTTGGGTTTACTGGTAATATTTATATTTTACAAGAATGTGCTTGTTTATTTCTTATGTAGGAAATTCACACTGTTTCTATTTGGTATGCTTTACTTTCAAACTCTTAATTCCACCTGTCCACCCTCCCCGATCCTTTTCTGCCTCTTCACATCAATCTGATGGCCCCTTTCTGTGTGAGGCAGGATAGCACTGCAGATAGGAACATGAACTCTGGAAGCACAATGTCTGGGTTTGAATCCTGGCCACTACTCATTTGCCATGTGGCCTTGAGAATATAAAGGGACATGACAGAGCCCCCTATCTCACATGGCTTTCATGAGGAACAAGGAAATAGATTCATATAAAGTGCTTGCAAGAATGCCAGGCATATACTCTTCAAAGTATGGTTACCACAACTGCTTATAAAATACTTCATGTGAAACTAGAATTTGTTTGACGAAAACCTTTGTAAAACTATTTATCATAGACAATCTTGCAAAAAGTTACTGAGAAACAGAATTGAGATTATACTATATATACAGTTTCATAAACTGCTTTATACTTATTATAAAGGTATAAGTATTTTTGAGGGTCATGAGATTACTGCCAGATGACACTTCAGAAAAACAGTATCAATTTATAATAGGATCAACAGTATTTGAGTGGACTTGTTCTATAATAACTCTCAGAAACACTGGTTAAAAAGGAGAAAATTAAATCTTCAGTTAATAAGGCCAGTATATACTGTCCTATTTTGTAAATCTTCACTTATCAGTGAGGCTCAGTATTTTTTTCTTGTTTACTGGCCATTTCTAGTTCTGGTCTTATGAATTATCTGGTTGGGGTACTGATGTTGTTAGAAATATTTTGGCATTTGGGAATAGACAGGAGTTGAATTTTTAAAAAAATAACTTTTATTTTTTAAAATAATGCTTCACGAATTTGCACGTCATCCTTGTGCAGGGGCCATGCTAATCTTCTCTATATCGTTCCAATTTTAGCATATGTGCTGCCAAAGCGAGGACAGAAATTTAATATTTTTAAATAGTCAAACCTTTTTATTTGTTTTTTTTAGAGACGGGGTTTCACCATTGGCCAGGCTGGTCTCAAACTCCTCACTCCTTGACCTCCCAAAGTGTTGGGGTTACAGGCATGAGCCACCATGCCTGGCCCAAAACTTTTTACCTTATATTTGATGTTTTAAGAATAATAAACACGTATTACATTTTATTATCAGAACAAGTTTTTAAAATATTAAACTATAAAATAATGACAAAATGTAAGATAAAGTTCTGAGAATCTAATATACAGCATGGTGACTATAGCTAATAATATCGTATCATATACTTGAAATATGCAGACAGCAAATCTTAACTGTCCTCACCACTGTCAACTCGTTCTAAAGGATAACTGTGTGACATGATGGACATGCTCGTTCCCCAAATGTGGTATTCATTTCACAATGCATGTGTGTATCAAACCATCGCAATGTATACTTTAAATATATATAACTTTGTCAATTATACCTCAATAAAGCTGGAAGAAAATAATGGCAAAATATAGATGCCTTTATCTGATCTCAAGTTGGGGGATGAAACAAACTACATAAACCAAACATAATAGAAGCATTCAAGCCAGGCACGGAGGCTCACACCTGTAATCCCAGCATTTTGGGAGGCTGAGGCGGGTGGATCACCTGACGTCAGGAGTTCAAGACCAGCCTGACCAATATGATGAAACTCCGTTTAAAAAAAAAATAAATAGAAGCATTGAACACAGAACAGTTGAGGTCCTTCACAGTTTCCGATCTCTGTGAATAGTTCAGAGTAAGTGCCCCCAATTTCTCTATGGTTCCACCTAGCTGTGTAACCTTGGAAAATGGCCTAACCTCTTGCTTCAGTTGCGCCACCTACAGAATTTTAAAAATATCTTCTTTGGCTTCTTTACTGAAAGATTCATTTCAGCCAGTTTGAAAGGCTGACAGAGCATCTGTGCTGAATACTTTACCTGATGTATTCTAACATGGTTTCAGTAATCCCTCATCTTCCCAACTAAACATACATGTATCACTAAAAGCAAGTGTCACCCCTAGCATGGATTAATACTATTTTTTTTTTTAATACCATTGTCTTCAGGATTAGGATTTCAAATACTGTCTTTTAAGTCATTTTCTAGTTTAACTTATTTAAATGTCATAAAATAATGAATGAATAAGGAATTTTATCTGGTAGCAGAGGGAAACCTTAACAGTGAATGCAAATTTTTTTCTCATTTTGAATTTTATTGGGTTGACAAGAAAAATGTCTTTGAAGACAATGTTGTTTCAAAATTTGAAAGGTCAGTTTATTAACCATTCCCTAAAATCAATCAATCACATCCTAAGGCTGAGGTTTTATGACAAAAGTATTCAAAATGCTGTCTGGTTGATGGTCCCAGATTAAATGACCACACATAACTCAGAGTGTTGTGAATCAGTGGCCTTTGCCCTGGGCTTCTAAAAGAAAAGCTGGGGAACTATTGGCCAAAAATTTAAACCTAGCACTACTGAAAGTCTCTGCTAGAAGCCTGAAAATTTGTTAACTTTTTACCTCCTTCTGTATTCGTATCCATTAGGAGATTTTCAGAGAAAACTTGAGGTGTGACAGACATGAGTTACACATCTGTGAGACAGACTGAAAGAATTTATAGATTTACCATGTATATGAGTAATACAATTCCTTTAAATTCTTGCCACCAAGACCTCATGCAACTGACATTCATCTCTAAATAAACATGAGTTGTGGAAAGTATTTCTATTACTAAGACTTATCAAGAATGTTTGGACCGGGTGACTGTTCTCTTTAAATGATGATTAATTTACCATTTCTTGAATTGCAAATAACAATAAAGGTTCTCAAAGACACTTCTTTCTCTATACCAGTGATTCTCTACTGGGGGCAAAGGATAATTTTTCCCCCAAAGGAAGTATCTGAAATATCCGGACATCTGCAGTTGCCAACTGGGGAGGAGGGTTTCTAACAGCAGCTAGTGAGGAGAGTCCAGATATGGTGCTGAACATACTACAATGCACAGGACAACCCCCACAGTAAAGAATTAATCTGTCCACACGTCAATAGTGCCAACACTGAAAAACTCTGGTCTGCAATAATTTATGAATATAAATTATAAAAGCGCTCACAAGTATAAACATTTATAAATCCAAACCAGTGACCTAAAATAAAACTTATGAAGCCATTATAAAATAAACTCTATATTTGCCTAAGTTACTTCTATAGTACAATAACAAATTTCAAGGTATAGTGGGAAAATCTAAAGTTTAGGACTAAGGAAGTCAATCTATTTCCACAAGACTACTCTATAGACTAAAAATGCCAAGTACTCTGAGAAGTCATTAACGTTTCACAAGAAAACAGTAACTTTTTCTACCTACATGCTCTTAAATTCGGGCAGTATTCTCTATTGAAAGTATGAGAATACTTACCAAAAGTGACCAAGAAAGACTAAGACAGACACACTACCAATTACAACCCAATTCTGCGATATTCCTTGTCAATTCAGTATCATGCTTTAATTTTTGCCCTTCAAGAAAACTGATCTGCAGAATTAGTCATCAACAGAGTTCATCCAAAAGCTCACTCTCTGCTGTAAAATGACCACTGACCCAACATACCAAAGATAAGTAAAATTTTAAGGACAATGAAAATACATTTAAATCTCAAATGTGTTAAGTTCCTCTTTATCTTTTCAGTTTCTAAACAAACAGACTGAATTTAAGCATTGTTTATTTCTCATCTTTCCCCGACATAATCACAATTCATGACAGAAAAATGTTCATATAACTTACAATTCTGTCTGACCCATAGATCTTCTCCAACTGTTCAGCAACATCCTTTGTTCCATCTGGGCTTCCATCATCTATGATTATAATTTCATAGTTGATTCCACTAAAAAAAAAATAAATTTGTATTAATGATTGATGACAATGTTAACTTTAAAAGTAATTTTTAAAGTACTAATTCCCTAAAAATATAAGTGGAGATTTATTGCTATATTAATCATTAAGGAAAACTTCAATTATCAAAAGAATAAATATCAAACATTTAGTACTTTACCTCCAAACCCAGTATGTTGCTGAAACATGCTAACGTCCTTCTTACATAGAGAACATACTTTGTAGTTCAAAAGAAAATCATGTAATGACATATGTATCATATGAAATTTTATTACCTACTTTGGAAAGAGAATTGTGAACCTTAATACCAAATCTTAGTTACATAAAGTATTTCAAAAGTACTTTACATGGTAACTCAAACCAAACTGAGTAATTCTGAGTGATTATTCTTCTAATTTAATCCAAATAGAATGATCAAGTATAAATCTGATTCAATTTCACCTTTTAAAAACCCCATTTTAGAATGGTGACACAATCTTAAACGATTTCAAATAGTTGTGCCTATGACCTCACATTATCAGCTTAAAAAAACCAAAGCAAGTAGCATTACAAAAGATTCCACTGTGCTTCAGAATTAACATGTTACTTCCCATTAACTTCAGGTGGTAGTTTCTAGCCTAAAAACAAGGCAACACAATACTTGGTGGATAAATACTGCATGGGTGTACATGTGGCCACCCCCCCACTCCCTCCCTTTTAAAGGCATTCTTATTATAAATTTTATACCGACAACATAACATTCTGTTTTCTCTTGGTCCTGCTCTAAGAAACATATGCAAGAAAATTAAGCAGAAAACATATTCCACTGTTAAAGGCTTTAACAAGTCAGCCCCAGCAACTCTGAAGACAAGAAAACAAAACCCTGTGTATCTATTCTCCAAGAGTAGATACAATGACTCTGGCTTCCCACTGTGCCTTAAATTTGGGCACTGGTACCTTTACATGCCAAAACATGTACGGTGATTTTAGTAGACGTGCTGAAAGAAAAATTCCATAAACAAAATGGGGTCGTTAAAAGCAAATTACTGTCCCCTACCACTTCAAAGCAGCTAGCTACTCCATTTACGGGAGAGGAAGCTTAAAGGAATCAAGCTGGGCTGACTTCAGGTGATTTGATTGCATCTGAAAAGCAAATAGTTTTGTTTCCTTTATTAAACCTCATTTTGGTCTTAAAAGATTTTCACAAACCATTAAAAGGAAAGATAAATGGTACAACGTAAAAAAAATTAAAGAAAACAGCAAAAAATTTTGCAAAATTAGAATACGAGCCCTGAATGAGATCGGTTGAATGATGGTTAATTTAGAGCTTATAGAAATCAAAATTAAAAGATTAAACGGAAAAATATAAATTTTAAAACGCTGAGGGGCAAGGCATGTGAAAGCAGCAAGGAAATACAATCAAGACAGCAACGGTTTTCACAAATTAGCACTTCCAACAATGTTAAATTTAATAATGCTCAAGCAGACTGGTTGATGGGAAAACAGGCACTCTGAAGAATGGAGAATCCTGAACTGGTATAATCCTTTTTCTTTAGAGCAATTTGGCAATAACTGTCCATTTTAAGCACCTCTCTGTCGACGCAGAAATCCTACCTTGGAAGAATTTATCCCCAGTACACAAGTACGAGTGTGTCTGCTGCCAAAATTGATACAATAAAGGAGCACCATTATGTGTCAAGCACTTTTCTAAATTCAGCTGAAAAATATGGTGGGAGCAAAGTCCTTGTTCTCACTTGCAAAGCAAAAGCCAAAAAAACAAAAACAACCAAAAACCTCTGGAAATAATCCGTTCATTGCCATGACCTGATTAAATAACAGACACATATGGAATGTTACCTAACTTCCAAAGTAATTTGCTATATTTATATACGTTAATATGAAAAAAAAAAGTCTCCAAAGATTTCACATCATGATCCCATTTGTGCCATCGTAGAACAAGTTACTTCGTACCGACTCCAGGATATTCTGCAGTTTTAAATAAACACTGCATATAACACTTCCAAATTCGAACTCCACCCCCTCCATCCCGGTTCTAACAATCACACCAAACATCCACCATGATCAGCGAAGATGCTCTTCTGCCCTCTCCTTTCCACAAAGGTTATCGTGCCCAGCAACAGCTCCCTAATTCGCACAGACCAAACCTCATGCTTATATAAGTACTCAGCACCGGAATGGAAGGTGAGCGCTCTCGCTTGGACTCTCTCGGCTCTTGCCGCAGATCCTGACCACCTAGAGGGAAGACTGGGGTCACGCTTTCAGGCTCGCTTCCAAGTAAAAGAGTGGGCAACCCTTCTACGAAAAACGGGGGACGGCAATAGTTCATAATAAAGATAAATGAGTGTCTCACAAAGCCCAAGGACGGGAATAAGAACCCAGGACACGAAGAAAACCCAACAAGCATCTGCCTCTGCTTCCCTCGCAGATTGGCCCTCTCCCCGAGCCTTCCTGCGTGAGCCAAAGAAGGCTGACGGGGCCGACTCGCGCAGCCAGCTGCCGACACCCGGGCCGGGGAAGCCAGCTCATCTCATTCCTCGCGGAGGGAGACCTGGTGCGCTACCTCTCGGAGAAGCTTTTCACCAGCAACCACACGATAAGCGGCAGGTTCTCGCGCTCGTTGTAGGTGGGTAAAAGCACCGAATATTTGTCCTGTCGTGTACTGCGCACCTCCAGCTCCCGCCGAGAGCTGAGCGGACTACGACTCACTTCCAAGGAGGCCATGGCGGAAGTGAGCCAGACGCCGGAAGCGGAATGGCGCAAATGAGACGCGGAAAAAGGACAGGTCGGACCCTACCAAATTTGGGAGAGGGGGATAATCTGTGTGATTGAGTGCTGGTTCTTCTAGAACAGTTGTGTGGTTCAATTAGAAATATTCAGGATTTATGCATCTTTAAAGTTTAATCTGAAGGTTTCTTTAGGAAGTTCATGTCTATTAATCACCTTTTCCCGAGCTCCATGAAGTTTTTTAGTTTATCCCAGTCGCTAGGAGACAGAAGCTGGAAGCGGAAGCGGAAATGCCTTTCAAGACAACTTCCGGAAGAGGTCGTCATGGCTTCCCGTGAGGAGGTACTTGCCTTACAGGCTGAAGTTGCCCGACGTGAGGAGGAATTGTATTCCCTGAAGCAGAAGCTGGCGGCTGCCCTTTTGGCGGAGCAGAAACCGCAGCCGCAACGGCTGGTTCCGGTGTCGCCGCTGCCGCCAAAGGCTGCTCTGTCCCGAGATGAGATTCTGCGCTATAGCCGGCAGCTAGTGCTGCCGGAGCTGGGCGTGCACGGACAGCTGCGCCTGGCGACTGCGTCCGTGCTAGTCGTGGGCTGCGGTGGGCTCGGCTGTCCACTGGCGCAGTACTTGGCAGCGGCTGGCGTGGGCCGCCTCGGCCTTGTGGACTATGACGTGGTCGAGATGAGCAACCTGGCCCGCCAAGTGCTGCATGGCGAGGCACTGGCTGGCCAGGCCAAGGCCTTTTCGGCCGCCGCCTCTCTGCGCCGCCTCAATTCGGAGGTGGAATGCGTGCCGTACAATCAGGCCCTTACGCCAGCCACTGCCCTAGACCTGGTCCGCCGATATGATGTGGTGGCCGACTGCTCGGACAACGTGCCCACTCGCTACCTGGTTAATGACGCATGTGTGCTGGCGGGTCGGCCTCTCGTGTCTGCCAGTGCCTTGCGCCTCGAGGGCCAAATCACAGTCTACCATTATGACGGTGGGCCTTGCTATCGCTGCATATTCCCCCAGCCACCCCCAGCGGAGACAGTGACCAACTGCGCGGACGGCGGGGTGCTCGGTGTGGTAACTGGGGTCCTGGGCTGCCTGCAGGCCTTGGAAGTGCTGAAAATCGCTGCGGGTCTGGGCCCCTCTTACAGTGGCAGCCTGTTGCTCTTTGATGCCCTGAGAGGGCATTTCCGCTGTATTCGGCTGCGGAGTCGCAGGCTTGACTGTGCAGCTTGCGGAGAACGGCCCACTGTGACTGATCTGCTGGACTATGAAGCCTTCTGTGGCTCCTCAGCCACCGATAAATGCCTCTCCCTGCAGTTACTGAGCCCAGAGGAGCGTGTTTCCGTCACCGACTATAAGCGACTTCTGGATTCTGGGGCATCCCATCTGTTGCTGGACGTCAGGCCTCAGGTCGAGGTAGACATCTGTCGTTTGCCTCATGCCCTACACATCCCTCTGAAACATTTGGAACGCAGGGATGCGGAGAGCCTGACACTCTTAGGAGAAGCAATCCGGGAAGAGAAGCGGCGTACACAAGAAGGGGCTGCTCTCCCCATTTATGTGATTTGCAAACTGGGAAATGACTCACAGAAAGCCGTGAAGATCCTCCAGTCCTTATCAGCAGCTCAAGAGTTAGACTCTTTAACAGTCCGGGATGTTGTGGGGGGCCTCATGGCCTGGGCTGCTAAAATTGATGGAACATTTCCACAGTACTAAGGTGACTGGTATAGTTTGACGGGGAAGATATGAATATACAGGAGATGTAATATACAGGAGCTGGAGATTGTACAGTATCTGTGAATACATGGACTCCTTTTTTATAAGGAATTTAAAAAATTGTTATGTATTGGATGACTTATTAATGGATTATACTGTTTCTGAGAACCATCATTTTTTTTTTTTCCAGCACATGGAGGGTGTCTCGAACATGTGAGATATAACGTGACAGGATTTTGTATTTTAAACTGCAGATCATTGACCTGTCCTTATTTTCCATTTCCCCCAGTCAAAATGCTTTCTAAATAATTTTATACCTGGAATTAAGGTGCAGTAAACTTAGTCTTATCAAATTGATCACAGAGCATATACTTAGGGTCGGTTTACTGTTTAGTTAAGAAATTATTGGATCTTGGCTGGGTGTGGTGGCTTCACGCCTGTAATCCCAGCACTTTGGGAGGCCAAGGTGGGCAGATCACTTGAGGTCAGGAGTTCGAGACCAGCCTGACCAACATGGTGAAACCCCTTCTTTATATTAAAAAAGAAAAAAAAAATTATTGATCTTATTAATATTTCAGATGATAGAATACATGCTACAAAAGTACATGTTTAAAATGTAAATTGTTATAATTATTTAGAAAGGGGGGTCATTCTATTTGGCATTTTGAATTAGTGTCAAAATGAGATGTTTAAAATTTGCCAAAATAAAGGAAGCCACCTTTGTAGTCTGTCAGTGCCTCTTACAAATTGCTCCTGTTTTATAAAAGTTAGCTTCAGAGTCCACCTTATGTTGCACATACATAGAACATTTTCTAAATTGGTTTGACCTGCTTTGGAATCTTAAAGTCCAAGTCCCAACCCTTTGCTGCTTCCCTTTTAACTTGCCTTTTCTATTTGGATTTAATCTTTTTTGTTCCAGCATTTTATACGAATGTAAAATGTGTTTTTATGTTTGTTTACTTTACATTTTCATAAAATGGTAGGTAGAGTCTCCCCAACTTCCAATATAGACAACAAAATTTAAGGTAAAAATTTGATTTGTGAGTGCCTGTCAGTGGCCGGTTGAACTAATGGCCTGTGAAAAGGGCACCCGTTCCCTCACAGGTTGCGGCATGCAGGCCCATAATCATCCATTGTTGTTGTTGAAGAGTAGCAGAAATCACAGATGTAACTGCAAAGTCTTTGTATCTCCGTCAACAATTAGAAAAAAAAGCTTAAAAGCATTATAGGCCAGAAAAAACCCTCTGCAGACCAGATTTACTCACCAATTTGAAATCTGTGATACAGAATCTGTTTTAGTATAAGAGGGTGGTATTTAACAATCAAATTCAAAATTAGTCATCAAGTTTTAACTATGAAATATTGTAACTAATTGTTTGAACAGGTATATTTAAAGTATAGTATACCCTTCTCTTATAAAGATGAACAGGGCCTCTTATGACTGTTTCAAGGAGTTATGGAAGTAAATGACTGAGACCTAGAGTGGAGAACAAACGTCTACTGTGTTTTTCATCTCCTCCTTCCAGGGACAACTGATTCTGGTAAATATCAGGAGACAGGTAGCGAGACACAAGAATGATTGTATATTCTAAAGGCTGATGTCCTAAAGTTATAGAAAGTTGTAGTTCCTATAAACCTGGTTGTCACTGGGGACAGGCAAGAGAAGCTGACTGGCTAAGTGGGAAAGGGTTTACTAAAGTGGTAGGAAGAGCTTTTGAGAATTTTGGGGACAGAGTCAAGACTATACTTCTAGGAGTGGTGCCCAAGATCATGCACAAAACTGGCCTTATGAGAACAGTGTCTATTCCCTTTCAAGTACAGGAGGAAACTGCTGCTCCAGTCTCACCAGTTTCACTTGACATGACCCCCCTGCTCTCCCAGAAAGCCCAACACTTCGGCCACAGTCCATGTGTTGAGAAGCTGAGTCACTACCTTATTCTTTTCTGAGTCAAGTCTTGTGAGGGTGTCTGGTAGGCAGAGCCTATTTACATACCTACATCTTAGCAGCAAGAGAGGCCGGGAATTTGTGTTTTGATATCTATCCTAGGAAGACAGAGCTCACGATGTGGGATTTTCCCCAATAGTGAAATATTTTTCAAAAGATGGGCAGTTAAGAATATGACAGATACCCAGTACACAACCCAGATCTATTTCAGTATTTTTTTTTCTTTTGGAGACAAGTCTTGCTCTATCCCCCAGGCTAGAGTACAGTGGCACAATCTCGGCTCACTGCAACCTCCACCTCCCAGGTTCAAGCCATTCTCATGCCTCAGTCTCCTAAGTAGCTGGAATTACAGGTGCCTGCCACTACACCTGGCTAATTGTTATATTTTTGGTGGAGACGGGGTTTCACCACGTTGGCCTGGCTGGTCTTGAACTCCTGACCTCAGCTGATCCTCGAACCTCAGCCTCCTAAAGTACTAGGATTTACAGGCATAAGCCACTGCGCCTGGCATATTTTAGTATTTGAAATTTGGTTCTTTCTGGGGATTGTAGCTAGGTTTTATGGTAAGATGAGATTTGAACTGAATTTTTTTTTTTTTTTTTTTGAGACAAAGTCTTGCTCCGTAGCCTAGGATGGAGTGGAGTGTTGTGATCATAGCTCACTGCAGCGTCAGCCTCCTGGGTTCAAGTGATCCTCCCTTCAGCCTCTCAAGTAGCTTAGATTATAGGTGTGGGCCACCATGCCTAACCATTTTTTAATTTTAAACATTTTTTGTGGCCAGGCATGGTGGCTTATGCCTGTAATCCCAGCACTTTGCCACTTTGGGAGGCTGGGGTGGGTGTATCACCTGAGGTCAGGAGTTTGAGACCAGCCTGGCCAACATGGTGAAACCCCGTGTCTATTAAAAATACGAAAATTAGCCGATGGCCAGGCGTGGTGGCTCATGCCTGTAATTCCAGAACTTTGGGAGGCTGAGGCGGGTGAATCACAAGGTCAAGAGTTTGAGACCAGCCTGGCCAACATGGTGAAACCTCGTCTCTACTAAAAATACAAAAATTAGCTGGGCATGGTGGTACGCATCGTAGTCCCAGCTACTCAGGAGGCTGAGGCAGGAGAATTGCTTGAACCTGGGAGATGGAGGTCGCAGTGAGCCAAGATTTCGCCACTGCACTCCAGCCTGGGAGACAAAGCAAGACTTCGACTCAGAAAAAAAAAAAAAAAAAAAAAAAAAAAAAAAAAAAAACAACAACAAAAAAAAAACAAATAGTGGGGTGTGGTGGCAGGTGCCTGTAATCCCAGCTATTCAGGAGGCTGAGGCAGGAGAATCACATGAAGCCAGGAGGTAGAGGTTGCAATGAGCCAAGATCATGACACTGTACTCAGCCTGGGTGACAGAGCAAGATTCAGTCTCAAAAAGAAAAAATAATCAGTTGGGCCAAGATTACATATTTGTTATACTTGTTTGCTAATGGACAAGACTGCTTAATGGATGGAACCCTATTCTCATTCACTCCATGCACCCACATGTACATTTCCCTTCACGGTTTTCAACGAAAGGAAGGCAAGTAGCATTTTGCCCCCAAATGTTTGCGTTTATTTTTGCTCCCCTGAAAGTTATATATGCTCTTTAGGGCAATTAATTAAAACAGATTTATAGGAAGGGTGTTAGGACTATTTAATCAACAGCTGCTCTATATTTTATCCACATGCCCATTGCTCTGTAGAGAAACATCTGCCCATGTCTGTAGGCTTGGCAACCCTGACTTTGCACCAAGGCCCAAGTTTCCCATTTGTTAGCTTCTGTTCATCAGAACTAGAGCCTGAGTGCTTATTATAAGTAGAGGGCATGCAATGGGGAAGTCATTTAGGTCATGCCAAGGAAACACATGGATCCATTCAAGAAATAGTTAATGGTCATTACAAATGGGCAGGTACTGATGCCCTACACAGAGGGACACAGCCACAAACAAGACAGACCAGGCATCTGTCCGCACAACCTTACAGCCTAGTAGAAGAGAAAGAGGACAAGTAAGAGTTCTACAATCACACATTGTGATTTGTAAGAAGGAATAATGGCTGGGGGCTGGGGTGATAGCCAGAGAAGACCCCTGGCAAGGGGCCATTTCAGTCAAGAAGCTGGAGCCATGAGATGGGCTGGGAAGAGCATTCCAGGCAAGGGGAAGAGCGAGTACAAGGGCTCTGAAGCTGGAAAGAGCATTTCGAGTTGGAAAGACACAGAGAAGCAGTTAAGGTCAGAGCAGAATGAATGGAAAGGAGAGGAGGGCCAGGGCCAGATCATGCAAAGCCTCATGGGCCATGGTGAGGAGGCTGGATCTTATTCTAAGGGTCTTAAAACCCACGGGAGCTTTTAAGAAGGAGGATGCGCTGGGACCCTGTTTCTGTATTACCAAGATTCCTTCAGCCCCTCTGTGAAAAAGGGAGATTATGGGACAAGGACAAAGGCAGGGGATCAGTTATGTGCAGGTGAAAAGTGATGGCACCAAGGTATGTCAGTTTCCTATTGCTGCTATAACAGGTTACCGCAAACGAAGTGGCTCAACAGTGGTTTACTCTCTTACAGTGCTGAAGTCTGAAGTCCTAAAATCAAGATGTGATGAGGGTTGCTTTTTTTCTGGAGGCTCTGGGGGAGGATTTGTTTCTGGCCTTTTCTAGCTTCTAGAGGCCGCCTGCATTCGTGGCTCTTGACTCTTCCTCCATCATCAAAGCCAATGGTATAGCAATTTAACTCCTAACTCCCTCATGATGCCCTCAGTCCAACTCTCCCTCACAAACTCTGACTCTGATCTCCTGTCTCCCTCTTCCTATTTTGTTGAGATGGAGTCTTGCTCTGTCAAGATTGGCATGCAGTGGTGAAATCTCAGTTCACTGCAACCTCTGCCTCCCAGGTTCAAGTGATTCTCCTGCCTCAGCCTCCCGAGTAGCTGGGACTACAGGCGCATGCCACCACGCCCAACTAATTCTGGTATTTTTAATAGAGACGGGGTTCTGCCATGTTGGCCAGGCTGGTCTCAAACTCCCGACCTCAGGTGATCCACCCACCTTGGCCTCCCAAAGTGCTGGGATTACAGGAGTGAGCCACCGTGCTGCCCTGACTTCTACTTCTAAGGGCTCTTGTGATTATATGGGGCCCACCTGGATAATCCAAGCTACGCTCTCTATCTCGGGATTTTTTTAAAATCTTGCAGCTCCAGCTCAAAGGATCAGACTTCTTAAATCACACCTGCAAAGTCCCTTTTACCACGAAAGTAACATATTTACAGGCTCCAGGGATTCAGGCTTGACATCTTTGGGGGCTGTTATTCAACCAGCCACACTAGGACTAGAGTGGGTGGTGGAGAGGAGAGAAGTAGGCAGATTGGTGCTGTGACTTGGAGGTGGACATCTTTGAAGGGTCAGAGAAGGGAGACAGGGAGATGGGGAAGTCAAGATGCCTCTGGGTTTGGCTTGAGCAGCTGCATGGACTGGGTGGATGTTTGTATTATGTACTGGGATGAGGATACTGACGAGAGCCATTGGGGGAGGACTGAGTCGAGCAAGAAAGAAACTTACTTTTCCCAGGCCAGGTGTGGTGGCTTATGCCTGTAATCCCAGCACTTTGGGAGGCTGACGTGGGCAGATCACAAGGTCAGGAGTTTGAGACCTGCCTGGCCAACATGGTGAAACCCCATTTCTATTAAAAATAAAAAAAATTAGGCCAGGCATGGTGGCTCACACCTGTAATCCAAGCACTTTGGAGGCCAAGGCAGGCAGATCACCTGAGGTCGGGAGTTCAAGACCAGCCTGACCAACATAGTGAAACCCCGCCTTAAAAATAAAAAATAAAAATAAAATAAAATAAATACAAAAATTAGCTGGGCATGGTGGCTAATTTCCCACCTGTAGTCCCTGCTACTTGGGAATCATGAGACATACAATGAGAGAAGCGCCAACCAAGACATGCCAAATCTGTTCTTTATAGAGAATCATGAAACCTTCCTGGTGCCAAGAGAAACCTCTTTACCAGGGGAAAACCAACCCAAGCAGAGAAGTAATTGTCTTCTATTCCTACAGATAGGAGACAGCAACTCCATACACTTAAGTGTACAGTAAAGTATTACTTTATATTTAGTAGGCTTAGTACCCTACTAAGCGAGTCATTCAATGTTCCTGAAATTTGGAACCATTACAAAAAAGTCTTTAATTGAATAAATTATATATGGAAAAATGCACAAATCCTGTCTCGGTGTGGTGGTTCGCACCTGTAATTCCAGCACTTTAGGAGGCAGAAGTGAGAGGATCACTTGAGCCCAGGAGTTCGAGACCAGCCTGGGCGACAGAGTGAGACCCTGCCTCTATTTAAAAAAAAGAAAAATGCACAAGTTTTTAAGTGTACTGCTTGATTAATTCTCATAACTTGAACACTGTCACCATCTCCCTCCTAGACCAAGAAACAGAATGGTATGGGAACCCTGAGCCTTCCTCATGCTCTTTCCCCACCCCTTCCCCATCCCGCAGGAGGCGCTGCAAACCGCAAACCTACAG